ATCTATAGCTGACTACGCCATAGATTAGGGGAAATCCGGGAGACTTGCCCAGGTGGGAGACTTGCCCCTCCGTGATATATTTACTTTAAAATTGCGCACCATAATCTGAAACGAGAGAAAACGGGACGCCCTCTAGTGCTTCTAGGCGACCACGAAATCCTAGTTGACTTTTCTCAGTTTGTTTTGTATCTGACCCGAGGCATGTGGCTTTTTGCGTTTAAACCAAAAATTAATACTTTTACAAATTTCATGATTTTTGAGAAAATTGAACCTAACCTGAAAAAGAAAGGTGTGGGAGACTGGCCCATACCTCAGGAGGGAGACTTGCCCAGAGGGACAACTCTCCCTTTCTGATGGAATTCTAAATTGGTATTTGTTTTTAATTAATTTTAGTAAAATTTGATGCATTTTCTTATTACAGGTCTGTACAATGCCATTCAAGTACAAAACAAAAGACGGTTCCACTCGCAAAAAACTTGATAAGGCTGTTCTTAAAAATGCACTAGATGAACTAGGAATTCTTCGAAAAACTTCTGCAAAATATGATATTGATCGGAGTACTTTGAGACGCTACAAAAACAATGAAAATAAACTTGAAAAAATAGAAGCTAAAGGCCAGTATAATACTTCACAAATATTCACCATACAAGAAGAGAAGCTTCTGGTTGAATATTTTTTAAATTGCAGCAAAATGCACTATGGACTTACTCGAAAACAAGGAATGAAATTAGCTTTTGAGTTTGCAGTTTCGAATTCCAAAAAAATTCCAGAAAGTTGGTCAAAAAATAGTATGGCAAGGAAGGATTGGTTTCGCGGTTTTTTATCAAGAAATCCCGAAATTGTTTAAGAACTCCGGAGGCAACAAGCTTGTCACGATCTACAAGCTTCAGTCGGAAGGATGTACACGATTTTTTTCAAAACTTAAGGATTGTACGAGAAAAATTTAAGTTTGAACCACAAAATATTTATGACTGTGATGAAGTAGGATTTACTACAGTTCAGGATTGTCCTAAAGTATTGGCCAGTAAAAAAGCTAAGCAGGTTGGTCAAGTTACTTTATCAGAGAAGGGCACTTTGGTGACAGTTTGTTTTGCAGTCAATGCAGTTGGAAGCGTTATTCCACCCTTTTTTATATTCCCTCGTATCAAATATCGATAAGACTTAGTTTCTCATGGCCCAGAAGGTTCATACTTTTTTAAAATTATTTTTATTTGTTTTTTGCATTATACTTATGTTTATTCTGATTTTAAAGATTTAGATTTAGTTTCGTACTTGAATAAGTAAAGTTTTTTGTTTTATTTTTTGAGTTTTTCGAATACAAAAGTAATTATTTACATTTGTTTTTATTTAACTCTCCTTCTGACTATGGGCAAGTCTCCCGCATATGTGGGAGAGTTGCCCATGTTTCCAAACAAATAAAAAAACTATATATTTTTTTCTGACTTATTTTTTTGAGGTTTAAATGATAAAACAAGGTTCCTAAAAATACATGCTACGAAGGCATCTAAAATTTATTGATTTATATAAATAGGAACAAATTTTATCACCAATAATGAATTGGGAGGGGCAAGTCTCCCGGACTTCCCCTACGTAGCTCGTGGCAGCCAGATCCAACTGAATCTAAGCAATGTTTGCTATAGTTCTGTTGTGATGCGAACGCCCTATTAACGCAGACAGATTTCACTTGAGACTAGGTCTCGGATGGACACTGCCTAAAGTAACCTTGTGAGTTTATGAAAATGAATGTATTTTTAATTACAGGTACAAAGGGACAAAGCCGTATGCGTCGGTGACGGTGTATTGGCAATATGTTATATCTTTTTATTCATACGTGGTTCGAAAACCACACAATTTCTTGTAAACGATACCTAATTTGGAGTTTATACAGGTAATTTGAGCTGTCAATTCGAGTATGAAAGTTACTCAAGTTAGAAACCTAAACAGATGAGTTTTGCGTTGCCGTCAACTTCTTTCTTGGAAATAAATTATAGCAAGTCATGTACTACAACAAACAGGTAGGTATGTGTTCAAATAATATGGAAGGCCCAGTTAACAACGAGTAAAAAATGGTATCATCATCATACTGATCATTGACCACACTATTAAATAGAGGTGTCAGTAAATGTAAACCAATAAATAACTAATTTCAAAAGATCCTAATCCACATGCGTTTTTCTGATTTTTTATTATACTGTTAATGTGATTCTATTTTGTATTAATAATTAATGGTGACGGTAGGTTTCATTGCATTAATCAGTTTATTCTTTTCTTTTGCCCTTTATAAAATATATGCCTATGAGAAGTCCTGCACGGGTATCACGTATCTTGTGACATTATGCCGATTTTTTTTGACATTATGCTGTTTTTTTTGACATTATGTAGGTTTTTCTACAGGATGTTATCTTAGCACTTAGTTGTACGTGTTGCCTAACCGTCATGAGGCTTGTTATCAATCTTCGGCTCTGGTGTGATGTAAAATCTGCTTCTGAGATGGCATTACTTTATGTCTAAGCTGTAAGTTGTATGTGTTGATGATAATTACATTGGGTTCTTGTCTCAAATACACTTAATTGAGATTCAAAGCTAGACATTTTTTGCGCATCCACTTTTTCTTATCCATTAAGTAATTCTGCTCAGTTTACCGTAATTTATAACTTTGAACATAACCTCTCTTCAGAAAGTACAACATAAAAATAACCCGTCGGGCACAGCCAACAGATATACTTCAGTGGCAGCATATTCAGTAATGACTTTCTCACACAGCAAATATCACTGATTTTATACACATTCAGACCAATACACATAAATCATCCAGATGCGATCTTGCTATTCAACCAACTTTCTTCTCAGAGATAAAAACTACAGACAAGGACCATTTGGCCTCACAAAACTTATGCAACCAATAATGCGTGTAGTTTAGTTGAGTGATTGTTCCTTAGATGGACGTTCACAACGATACTAGTGAGCAAACGTGGAATGACCGTTTGCGCCCTAAAAACCACCTAGTTTGCAAGATGACATCTTATAGGTTTTTTTGACGTTTCATAGGCTTTTTACATGAAATCCGTGGTCGTTAATTAGCCTTTATTGCTGAAAAGTAGCTTCTGTATATAGGTATCTTTTTTTGCAGAATCATTCTTAAAGCCGAGCTTTGTGATTTTGAGTAGGCTTTTACTACTTAGTTGCTTATGGTATCTTTTTTAGCAGAATCATTTTTAAAGCCGAGCTTTGTGATTTTGAGTAGGCTTTTACTACTTAGTTGCTTATTGTGATCATAGCCCTTTGAAGTAATCATAGTTTTTGTTTATAGAGCTGGGTTAACCAGTTGCTTTGGTGCCTCGATTTGTGTGATACCGACTCGTCTGATTCGTTCACTATTTTGTGATACCGGATTTTAAAATATACCGTCTTGATCATATCGTAGACTTTTCTTAAGTATTACTTAGGCGCCATACCCCGCAAAACCGAATACAACTCTGATCCGTGATATTATGACAGTTTTCCTATTATCATATTAGTCTTGGCAATTGAAGTTTTGAATTCCATATACGAGGGTGGTCCCAGAAGTACCCGGCCTGACCTAGAGATGGCGATAGTTGTTTGAAAAATATCATAGTATTAGAAAGTAAGCAACCTATAAAGCATATGTGTCAAGTTTGAAGACGCCACATTGTTTAGTATTTGTTTGGCAGCCATAAATTCTTAACGTTTTCAGTGAATTTGTGAAAATGGAGAAAATTGGTCATCGTTATGTGGTACAATACTTTTATTTCAAAGGCACAATTAGTATATAAGCTGAATTAGATTATAATCTGGGTGAGTCTGCTCCTTCGTTTACAACAGTAAAATATTGGGTAGCAGAGTTTAAACGAAGCCGTATGAGCTGCCAAGACGAGCATCGCAGTGGTCGACCAAATGAGGTGACGACTCCAGAAATGGTGAAGAAAATTCACAAAGCGGTACTGAATGATCGTCGACTGAAAGTGCGCGAACTAGCAGATATGGTAGGCACTTCAAAAAGTGCGGTTCGTCGCATATTATCTGAAAATTTGAACATGAGAAAGCTGTGTGCAAGATGGGTGCCGCGATTGCTCACAATCAAGCAAAAACAGTGTCGTGAAGATGTTTCAATCGAGTGTTTAGCGAAGTTTCACAGCAACAAAGCAGAATCTTTGCGTCGTTTCATAACCATGGATTAAACATGGGTCCATCACTTCACACCCAAGACAAAAGAACAATCAAAACAATAGACTCAAAAGGGACAACCGGCTCCAAAGAAGGCGAAGACCGTTTCATCTGCAGGCAAGGTTATGGCGTCGGTTTTTTGGGATGCGCGTGGGATAATTTTCATTGACTATCTTGAAAAAGGTAAAACTATCAACGGCGAGTATTATGCGAACTTATTGCAACGTTTGAGCGATGAAATCAAGCAAAAACTGCCGCATTTGGTCAAGAAGAAAGTGTAGTTTCATCAAGACAAGGCACCAGCTCACAAATCCGTTATTGTAATGGCCAAAATTAACGAATTAAAGTTTGAATTGCTACCTCATGCACCCTATTCACCAGATTTAGCCCCCTCGGATTATTTTCTGTTTCCAAACGTGAAAAAATGGCTCAGTGGTCAAAGATTTTCCAACGACGAAGAAGTGATGTCGGCAGTTAATGGCTATTTTGAGGAGCAAGGCAGTTCTTATTATAAAAAGGGTATCGAACTTATTGAACATCGCTAGGAAAGGTGTGTAGAGATCAAAGGAGATTATGTTGAAAAATGACATTTTTTTACAAAGTTTTTGTGTTTTCTTCGTTGGGTCGGGTACACCCTCGTAGATTTGTAAAAGAGTAATCTGTTTTTATCCCATTTGGCTTCAAATAGGGCAGTCATACAATAGGTAGCTGCTTGAGATAATTTCATACATGTGGTTCTTCCGTTTCCGTTTCTGATAAAATACCGATATCTGGTATTCGAGAGCTTACAATGTCTATTTAATAGTTAAACTTACCCAATAGGTATGTTTGACGGCCCATCTTTCCACTTGGCACCTCTTTGTGGAAGCCCCGTAGCATACCCGCGTGCACAACGAGACAAGGAACAAACAACTCACATTCTGGTAAGCTATAACTGTGCCACCCTAAACAACTCTTCCGGAGAAGACAGTCCATATCCATCGTAGGGGTTCGACGTTGTTTGCATCAACGCCATGGGATTGGAGAACGCCGCCAGGTCGTAACAGCTCGACGAGAGTACCCATGGGTGCACGTGGGGCACTATGTGTGTCGCATGTGTCGCACTTGGTTGCACTGGGGTCGGTTTGTCCGGCGAGATGAGGCTCTCTATCGTAAACGACCTCTTGGGTCTGATACAAGTCACTGGGGAAGTAGTTTCCGGAGAAGTCTTTGGAGGTAACGTCGGAGATGTTTGAGTCGGTGCTACAGCAGCTGGGTTCACGTCCATCGGAGGATTTGGAGGCGAGAAGAAGATCCTGTTGATGTTCGTCAGAGCAGCGAGTTCGTTCTCCAGCATTTCCTTGTCGCTTTTGAGGAGTTTGAAGCGCTTCCTCCTGCGAAGTAAGCTACCGTTCACAAACATGTCAAACGCGGCGGGGTGTAACGCCCAATATGCTCCTTTCCCGGGTCTATCAGGCTGCCTAGGGATCTTGATGAAACAGTCGTTGAACGACAGGTTATGCCTCAAAGAATTCTGCCATCGCTGCGTGTTTTTCCTGTAGTACGGAAATCGATCGGTTATAAACTTGTAGATTTCACTTAACGGCAACATCTTTTCGGGGGAGTTCCATATCGCCATAGCTGTGAGGGAGATGTAGGAATAGGGCGGCTTCTGGTCGCCGTAAGACTCCCTGGAGGGCCTAGGCATCTTCTTCCTTGCACTCAATCACAGCTGGATGCCACTAACTTGGGGTCTGCCAGAAGACTGTCGATTGTTGCTGGGGCTGGGTCCCAGCCTGTTAAGCAGCACCGTTCCGGATTGGTCGAGAGGAAACAATGGCAAATCGCTGAACCGCCCAGGCTATACCGTCCGCCCTACTATTGGATGGCGACGGGGCGGCCAATCAGAGCGCGCAGATATATCAGGCTGTTTGACTAGCACTGTGTATGGCTGGTGTGGTTAAAGGAAATTTATGTTAGGGTTTTGAAAAGGCTGGGTAAACACCGACAGAGTCATCATGGTTTATTGAATGCACTTTACGGTCCCATGACCGAGCTTATAAACTCGTTTACCAAAATTTAAATTACAGGTTCGGGTTGCGTGATTAATTATTCTTTCCGGCACTAAGAAGGGATGCGGTGCCTTATTATTCTCATGGAATACAACGACTGCCCATGAACTACAAGAATATTAACCATATTCGCATTAGGGAACAATTCAGATCTGTGGACGGATTGATCAAATTAATGAACACTAAGCCCTGCAGCGCTGTCATTTTCTGACGTATTCATATAGTTGATAATCTATGAAGTGCTTTATTCATCTACAAGCACACATAAATACCTACTATACAGGGTGGACCAGAGAGACGTACGAATTTCGAAACCGCACTGCTCGTCACAGGCCCGAGGAAGCGGGACACGGGTAGTGGGGATAAGTAGCTTGGTGCAGCGGAACTTAGTCGCCTCAGAGCGTTTCACCGGTGAGCAGTGTGCGTTTTGTGTTAAGGCTTATTACAAAAATGGAGATGCATGCATTATTTTACATGATCTAAATCAACGTCCTAGTGAAAATGTGATCAGGTCATGGGGCAGAAAGTTTGAGCCTATCGGTTCGACACTGAATCAGAAACCTGCGGTCCAGCGTCGATACGAACAGAGGAAACGAAGTTTCGACGTCAGTACGGTATTGGGTCGCAGAAAATCTCAAATTAAAACATCAACGACCTTTACAGGCATAAAATTAGAAATTAAATCTCAAATTCTCTTATTCTGTCAACGCTGTTTTAAAACCCAGCGTCGTCAATGGCAGTTTATACAGGTTTTGACAAGTCACAACATGAAATCCTGGCGCACCCCCGCCGTGCTCCGTTTAACATTCATCACTAACACAATTGGGATGAGCATCTGTGATATTCATTTCCACAAACATGCGAAAAATTTGACGTTTCAGTGTACCTACATGTTTTGTTGAGAAATCTGATTGAGTGTGTCAAATTATTGTGTCTCACTGTTAAAAGGTATGTTTGTGTATTTACAAACTTCACTTACCATTTTAATTTAATGTACTAAATTGTTAATTGGGTGGAGACGCGTTCATAGATCGGCCATTTGGACCTTTTTACCACATCACAATCAAACCAACGTGGCGAAATCATTTAGAAACGACGAACTATAAGTACCTAATATTGATTACAAATGTATTTAAAATTACTATTATAACCTCAACCAGCCTACAAAAATATAAATCTCCCGGTGGCCAATATACTGTTGAATACATTACGTTATTAAGACAAAATAATGGACATCACTGGACAATAAATTTTAGTTTTTTAATAAAAGTGCACTTCTTTGTTAATTTTGGGGCGCTGAATCCAAAAATGACAATGAAATAAAAAAATTAGTTGCGGTTTAGAAAAAAAACTTTTTATTTATAAGGATATATTAAAAAAAGTAACATGATTCATATACTTATAAGAATCACTATATGCGCTGTGTTTTTGCTGTTCTTTTATGGATCGTTTCTGGAGCATCTCTACCAAGAGTCCAACAGTAGTCTGCAAGCATAGAAGGATTCCACTTTCCCTGGTACCTTTTTTCCATTGTTGAAATATCCTGATGAAAACGTTCGCCGTGCTCATCACTTACGGCTCCGCAATTGTCAGGAAAAAAGTCCAGGTGTGAGTGTAGGAAATGTATCTTAAGAGACATATTACAGCCCATCTTTTGATACGATGACAGCATATTTTTAACAAGGGTTTTATAGTTGTCAGCTTTTCTATTTACCAAGAAATTAGTGACCACCAGACGGAAATCATTCCAAGCAGTTTTTTCAATACCTGTTAAAGTGTTTTCAAACTGTGTATCTTTCAAAATATTTCGAATCTGTGGCCCAACAAAAATACCTTCTTTAACCTTTGCCTCACTTAGTTTTGGAAATTTCTGACGCAGGTATTGAAAAGCTGACCCATCTCTATCTAATGCCTTGACAAAGTTTTTCATTAGGCCCAACTTGATATGCAGCGGTGATAATACCTAAATTCTTTTTCGAATCTACTAATGGCATATGCTGTACATTTTTTGACCTGGCTCTAGGAATTGACGAACAGGCCAGTTTGGTATAGTGTAATGAAGTGCCTTTGCCCGACTGTCCCATTCACACAAAAAACAGCAAAACTTTGTGTAGCCTAGCTGCAGCCCAAGTGAAAGTGTAACAACTTTCAAATCGCGACAAATATGGCATTGGTGCTCATCGTATTTTATGCATGTCAATAGGTACTTCATATTGTCCTATGATTCTTTCATGTGAACTGCATACCCTACAGGAAGAGATGGTAAAATATTTCCAATATGCAATAACACTGCCTTTAAACTCAATGTTGAACTGTCTATAAACAATCTCCATTCTTCTGGGTTATAGTTTATATTTAAAGCCGCCAGTAAGCCGTTAACGTTACTGCAGAAAACCAAGTTATTCTCCATATTGAAAAATGGTTCTAAGTCTTTGTTCCACTGCTGCAGTCTTGATCCAAGTAACTCTGCCTTACATTTTGGAAGTTCTAAATCTCTTACAAGATCATTTAATTCTGACTGTGTTATTTTGTGCGGTTGGTGGCATGACGTGCTCGGTATAAAATCAGGATCTCTTGACGTTGATGGCATATCTTCTTCCTTGACGAATCACTCGATCGCCATGATCTGATTCGTTTTCTGATTCGCAAGTGTAGGATTCTGGGGGTTTTGGAATAGGATTTTCGTCACTGTGAGGCACAGGTCTCATCGCAGATGGTATGTTTGGGTAGTTAATAACCGAGTTTTTTTTTGGACATTCCTGTGCCTTGTCCAACACAAGGTACCATGCAAAAGTAACAATCATTAATATGATTTGTAGGCTCTCTCCAAACCATTGGGACAGCAAAGCGCATAGACCGTTTTTTGCCATTTAACCAGCTCCGCAGACTTGAAGCACATGTATTACAGCAGATGTGGGGTGCCCACTGTTTGTCTTGATCACCTAGTTTACAACCGAAATAAAGCTGATATGCCTTTGTTATTAGTGGAGTAATAGACCGTCTCTGAGACGCAAAAGTAACATCACCAGACACGTAACAAAACTGATCTGGATTGTTTACACACTTTCGAAACATCTTGCATGAACGCTGTCAGCCAACTGAGGAAAAAATGGCTAATATAAAACAATATAATGTACACGTATGTATAACGTAACACAATCATGCCGATTACATCATCTTTCCTTGCCGAATATAAAAATGTGGCACGTGCATTCTTGTGAATTACAGTATATTAACACTGTCACAGCAGGCACACATATAATTACCGTATCTCTAAAACTTGAACTAATATTGAAAAAATAAGTTTCATTCCGGTTTTAGCACATTAAAAATAGTAATATTTTGTTGATTTCATTTAGGATATTTTTTGGCTGTTGATCAGTGATAATTAGTAATTACATGCAGGTATTTTGCTTTTTTATTTATTACTTATTGGTTTTATTGTTATAGGTGCAAAATGGCAGCGAAAAAAAGAAAGTTTTCCGAAGATTACGTTAAGTTTGAATTTACCTTCATATAAAAAGACGAGTTACAATTGCCTCAGTGTGTGACATGTATGAAAGTTTTGAGTAATAATAGCATGAGGCCCAATCGCCTTGAAAGGCATTTGAAGCAACAACATCGTACTCGGGTTTTGAAGACGAAGGAGTTTTTTTCTTCTAAAGCAGAATCACTCAAGCGGATGAGACTGGATAAATCGGGAACTTATCCCACAGGTGTATCGCAGCATCTCAAAGCATCTTTTGAAATAGCTTTTACGATAGCAAAGCAAAAGAAAGCTCATACTATCGGTGAAGAATTAATGAAACCATGTGTCCTAAAAACCTCGCAGATAATTTTAGAAGAAGATGCAGAGCAAAAAGTGAAGTCTATTTCTCTTTCGAATAACACAGTCAAGCGTAGAATCGATGACATTGCAGCAGACATGAAGTCACAAATAATTAACAAAATAGAATTATCGCCATTTTGCCATTAGTTGCGATGAATCCACCGACAACGTTAATTGTGCACAGTTAATAGTTTATGTTCGTTACATCGACGAATATCATTCAAGAAGAGATTTTGTACTCCCAATCTTTGACAGCAGGTACTACATCTGAAGATAAATTTAATTCAATATCAAATTTTGTTGAAAAAAAATTATTTGGATTGGAAGAAACTCATTGGACTTTGCACAGATGGCGCACCCGCAATGATAGGTGTACGATCGGGCTCAAGGAAAAAAATCCCGCAATGGTTAGTACACATTGTGTGATTGATCAGCAAGCTTTCAAAACATTGCCACAGAAATTACGCCAGACTTTGGACTCGGCTATAAGGATTGTAAACTACATCAAGAGCCGCGCTTTGAACAGTCGGTTATTTACTTTATTTGTGAGGATCTCGATTGTGATCTCAATGTTCATCTGTTCCGTATAGAAGTACGCTGGCTGTCCAAAGGCAACATGTCGGCTCGCCTTTATGAATTGAAAGAAGTGGTAATTCTTTTGAGTTCAAAGAAAAACACGATTTGTTCACAATGTTCAAAGATGACACATTTCAATGGATCTTGGCTTATTTAACTGATATATTTGACTCCTTGAAACGCATTTGCAAGCGCTGCAAGACGAATTTCGCCGATACTATCGAGACGTCAATTCAGAGTCACCAATATGGCACATGACAAGAAATCCATTTGTTGTCGATGTGTCCCAATTACCAGAAGAAGTTCAGGAAGAATTTCTAGAAACGAAGGCTGATTCGTCCATGAAAGATGACTTCCATCTTTTAACACTGAAGAAATTTTGGATCAAAAGATTGCCTGTTAATTCGACACTTGCCTCTCTTGCTTTACGAATACTAGTTCCTTTTGTTCAACTTAGTTATCTGAGACAGGCTTTTCTGCTCTAGTTTTAATTAAAACTAAATAGCGTAATCGTCTTGATGTCGATAGCCACCTGATGATAGCTCTGGCAAGAACAGAACCTAGAATCAACCAAATAATAATAATAATAATAATAATATTTATTCACTCAATGTACAAAGATAACAAACAATATGAGTAAATAAATATAAAATCAAAGCAAGCCCAATAGAAGGCATCGCCTGTACATGGACCAATAATTTAAGTTGAAGCTGTAGAATGCAAATGACAAAAAAGGACAAAATTAGCTACAGTAGATAATGTATTTAGTTGATGTTCGTATTTATGAGTTTATGAATTTCAGTCCTAGATATAGAATGTAGCCACTTTTTTAAATTTCTTTTGAAACAATTTCCGAAACGTAAATCTTTTAAGTCTTTAGGTATATTTCATAAATTTAGGTGCTAAATAGAGATATGATCGCTACATTATAGATTTATTGCGGTTGAGGAACTACTGTGCCACGAATTTTGTATCTGGTATAATGATTATGTTTAATTTTTTGGTCGGTGTTTACAAATTTATGGTAGTGAGTGATACTGTGTAAGAAATAAGGCTGAATTAATATCATACATTCGAACATCTGCGTATAATTTTCAGTGGGATAAAGTTCGGTTTTTTTAAATATAATTTTAGAATACTTTTTTGAAAACCTCTAAATTATAGATATGTGAGGAACATGCAGCTCCCCATGCTAATATACCATATGTGAGATGAGGCTCAATCAGTGCATGGTGTAATGTTCGAAGATATTTTTCTGTCAATATATTCCCAAGGTATTTAATTTTGTAGGATACAGATCTAACTTTCTTTAAAATATAATTGACATGGATGTCCCATCGTAAGTGAGGATCCAAGACTACTCCAAGGTATTTTATGTTGGGCACTCTATTAATTTGCATTTTTTGATCATTAATGTTGAAGGAGAAATTTGTGTAACTTGGCAGATGTCTAGCATAAGATCCAAATGGTAAAAAATGTGTTTTAGAGTAGTTAATGCTTAATTTTCTACTGTTAAACCACCGAATAATTTTGATAAATCATTTTCAATTACATTTTTCAGATCAGACCAGTCAGTGCCTTCATATAATATTGCAGTATCATCTGCAAAACTAGTTATTTTGCCAACACAATTAATTTGGAGAATATCATTTAAATATATATTGAATACAGCGGACCTAAGACAGTTCCTTGTGGGACACCACACTTATACATTTCTTTACTCTTTACATGCAATCTTAAGTGTCTCATTAGTACCTACTCTTATTTGATTCAAGTTTTTCGATAAAAAACATTTATTAGTTTATTTAAACTTCTAAAGTTTCTTTATTAGAACTAAAATAAAAGTCTTTGTACCTATATAATGTGCGTTTTTTGGTATTTATTGAAATATAATTTATATTCCGGGGAGCCTCAACAAAAAAAAGGTTGGGAAACCCTGACATAGGGGTTATTACAAAATCTTCTTGTCGCGTGACAGTAACATTTCACCAGGTAATAAAAAGGGATATTCCTGGCACGTGTTAAGCACATTTCATCAGAATACATCAGCCGAATTTTTTGGCCTATGTGCGTGGGTCCTAGCGACCAACGACACAACGGCAAGCCGACACGTCCAATTTGTGTTATTCCAGGTTTGTACGTATCAACATAGTGTGCATCGAGTAGGTATGTGTTTCTAAGTAGTATGTACATTATTCAGTCTTTTTTGTGGTAGAAGGTCAGTTTTGTGATAATTATTCGCCTCAATTCATCCCATTAACAAAAATTATTGGTTCAATTGACTGAGGTGTTTTCACAACCTACAAAAGCAACGCCTAATAAGAAGTTTAGTTTGTAGTGAGAAGGAATTGGCATCTGCAGCTGTAATGCTGCAAAGTCGCAGGAGGTATATGAATAGAAGAGAAACGTATAAGTACATATCGTACACACATTTTATGATGAACATATGGTTAATTTGCTTTGTTATGTTTTCAATTATCTTTCTTCGAGTGTATATGGTGTGATCATCGGGATATACCTGAAGCAGCCAGTAGATGTGATGATTCTATGACGAACCACTGGATACTTCACGAACATTTACTTGATATCTGTTAGACAAATCAAATACCTAATATCAGTGTTGTAATATCTAGATTCTTCGATATAGGCGGACATATGGATAACCAAATGAATACCTATCCATTAGATGTATGTGTCTCTGAGAAGACATTGTTAAATCACCTTGTGAAAATCTTAAAGACCACGCTCTTATAACATATTCTCATTGGACATGCTATAGGACTTTGTCAAATCGCTTGACGGGAATATACTTAGAAAATGTTGCAGCACGTTGTTACAATGTGTGATATTTGCTCCTACAGCCGGCGCCCTCCGGGTTCGGTCCTTGGACCTACCCTTTACTCACTGTACATCCATGACGTCCCTAGCCGTAGCCACGGTGAAGTCTATCTCTATGCTGACGATACTGCATCGGTGGCTCAGTCGTGGTCTGGTGACCTAGTTCATGACGGGCTGCAAAGTGCGGTGGAGGAAGTATCAGATTGGGCGGATCGGTGGCTAAT